TGTCCTCCTGGTGTATTGACCCTTTAATCATTATATAGTGTCCTTCCTTATCCTTTGTGGTGGATTTTACTTTAAAGTCTATTTTGTCAGTGATTAATATTGCCACTCCTGTTCTTTTTTGAGTGTTATTTGCTTGAGATATTTTTTTTCCGTCCTTTGAGTTTTAGTTTGTTTGTGTCTTTAAGTCTAAGGGGTGTCTTTTGTAGGCAACATATAGACGAATCATGTTTTTTTAATCCAATCTGCCACTCTCTGTCTCTTTATTGGTGCATTTAGTCCATTTACATTCAGCGTAATTATTGATAGGTATGAGTTTAGTGCTGTCATTTTGATGTCTCTTTTTGTGTGTTGTTCACAGTTTCTTTGTTCCACTTAATTTTCTGTGCTGAGTCGATTTTCTTTATGTATTTTCCTTTCATCTTTTTCATTGTTGTTGATTTTGTGTTTGCTGAGTCTTTATATTTTTCTAGGTTTTTATTCTGACTTGTAGGATTGTTAGTTTCCTTTGTGGTTACCTTAATATTTACCCCTATTTTTTTAAGTTTTTATCAGTCTTTTATTTCTTTATATCGCCTTGACTCCTTCTCCATGTGAAAAATATATGTCTACATTTTTTGAAGTCCCTCTTTTTTGTTTTAATATTGTCACCTTTTACATATTGACATCTGTTTCCCTATTTTCAGTGTTTTAGCTTTGATTTATTTTTTGTGACTTCCCTATCTGAGTTGATATCTGGTTGCTCTGTCCTGTGTTCTAGTCTTGGGTTGTTATCTTATGTTACCGATTTTCTGACTGGAGGACTCTCTTTAGTATTTATTGTAATTTTGGTTTGGTTTTTGCAAATCTTCTAAACTTCTGTTTATCTGGAAATGCCCTAATTTCACCGTCATATCTGAGAGACAGTTTTGCTGGATGTATAACTCTTGGCTGGCAGTTTTGTTCCTTCAAGGCTTTATATATGTCATCCCACTGCGTTCTTGCCTGCAAGGTTTCTGCTGAGTAGTCCGAGCTTACTCTTATTGACTCTCTTTTGTAGATGACTTTTCATTTATTCCCTAGCCGCTCTTAAAATTCTTCATCTTTGGTTTTGGCAAGTTTGATTATAATATGTCTTGGTGACTTTCTTTTGGGATCTACTGTATGTGGGGTTTGATGAGCATCTTGGATAGGTATCTTGTCATATTTCATGAAATCAGGGAAGTTTTCTGCCAACCAATCTTCAACAATTCTCTCTGTATTTTCCATTATCCACCCCCCACACCCCGATCTGGTA